TTCTTTAATGAACCTTTCAAAAAAATATTGTAAAGCATTGCATCCTCGTGAGTTCAAACTAAAGAGTCTAACATACTAGATGACTCGTTTAACCCATTTTTTCCATCTATTTCACTAGAAGTGCTACCTTTACCAAACCATCAGTCCCCCAGTGTCTGTTTTCCAGTTTAAAAGCTTTATCATAAATTTTGGCTATTTGACCTTATTTTCACATTTAGTTCAGTCACAGATTGGCGACAGATTATCTGGCACTCTAAATTAACCACATGAAACTCAATGAATTTTGTTATCTATTGTGATAGCAATACTTTTTTCCTTCGTATCTCAGTTCCTACTAGAGCTTTTTCACTTCTCCAGTGTCAAATATAATCATTGTCACTGAATGCTAAAGCAAGTTACCCTTTCAGTTTATGAGCCATATCTAGTTACCTTTTGTTCCCACTGCCTCCTACCTGCATAATAATTATAATCTTTTATTACTGGCTTTCTTCTCTATTTATTTCAATGTATTTTTAATTATTATTTTTAATATATAGGTGAGCATATATATATGCAGAAAAATAAGATATACTTTTGGGAATTTTTCAAATTTTTATTACACCCACCCTTTTGTATGAACATGTATGTTAAAAAAAAAGGTCATATTCTCAACAGCTAGGGATAAAACTACACAAAAAAGTTTCTGTCAATACACATGCCCGAACACTGAAATAACTATTTAAAAACCAAACACAAATTTTGAAAACTTAAATAGTAAATATTTCCACTTTATTAAAAAAGAGTACTGAGAAAGTAAGTAGAACCTGACATCATTAAAACAGAATAGGAAGAAAGCTGTGGTTTTTTACTCTACTGCAACCTCTCCCTTTTGATGAGATTTGGTTTATTATTTGATTTCTGGGTAAAAGAGATGAACAGAGTCCCAGTGTTTTTGATACTCTCAGCCTGCTCAAACAACTAACAAGTTAATGTTAAAATTCCTTTCTGATGTCTTCTCTGGCTCCAGGCTTTTATAGAATAGATATTTTGCCCTATTAGTAAATCACCCCTTAAATGTCACAAAAGATGGCTCTTATAAACCATCAGGCAACTCTGAGTGAGACAGACCCCTTGCACAAGATCTGTGTATTTTTAATTCTTATCAGAAATAAAGTAGGATCCTACTAGCTTGGGTGGTTCCTTGTTGCTTCATCAATTTTCATCTCATTATTCCCAGCATTAGCCTGCAGGATTAGCTGATAGTCAATGGTATGCAAGGCTTGACACAGAAGAGAAAAAAACTATTAAATTTGATCTTGCAGTTATCCCCAGAGAACAACAAATTAATTTACCCCCTTACTAAGGAGGTTATCGAGGCCAAAGATATCTGCATTTAACTACTGTCTGCCTCTTTTGTGCATGGATATTACCTATTAGTGCACCATGTTTTAATGCATTATTAGCCTAAAACCAATATTTGGGGACCTATTATATTGGCAGTTTAGTTTTCCTAACTGTGTTCCTGTGAGAAAAAGTAGTGAGAGTAATATGAAGATTAAATTATTAAGATATAATTCATTTTCCTGATTCTATGGCATGATTCTTTTATGCTGCTTATCCCAGCTAATGAAAGTCAGATTTAATTAGTTTTTGGTATTTGACACAAAAGGGCTTACCAGCTTTCACAAAGGATTGTAGAAAAACATTTTCTGAAAGCAAAACCTCACTAGCTATCATTTGAAAATGTAAGACAGGAGAGAGATGTGACCAAAGTGGTTGGGCACATCGGAAGGAATTATTTTAAATCTCATATTTGTAACAGCAAATATTACAGATGCTTCTCTGTCTGAAGTCCTCAAAATCTGGCTATAGAATGAGAGTGGCTGAGGTGAACTTTAGATATGTGAAGCTAATATGAATCTGACGTTTTCTTTTTGGCTCCCTGTCCAGAATAGATTGAGCTAAAATCCCAGGACGTTTGGGGCAAACACTATGAGCCTTATGGGTATCAAAATCTTAGTCTAAATTTTACAGTTCAGTTTCATTCCCAGCAATCAAGGTGGTCAGAATTCCACTTTTTAAATTCAATAGTGAATGAATTCAAGGTTATGAATAGTTTTCCAGCATATTTTTTTTTAAAAAAGTATTATTTAAATATACTCATATCTTGATGTCTGAGATATATTCTTGACCACAAATACATATTTTAATTAACAATCTAACGTAAATTCTTTTATCTTTCAGCCCTATACACAAGTATTCTCATAGCCTAATATATTTGCATTTATTCACTGCAACTTCCCGTCAAACTGCAATCACCTGTGTGCACTGAAAAAATGAACTTTAATGTCAACTCAGCAAACTCTCTGATCTCCCATTGTTATCGTTAATTTCAAAAGTCTCAAGGCACAGGGATGTGGCATTTGGAAAAATACATCATTTTAGGACTGCTAGTATGGTATACTGGACACTTGGGCTAAGTTTATACTAAAACATTAAAAAGTGCTATGGCACAGGCCAGACCACTGGAACTCAATAATCTATGCAGCTAAATAGTTGCTGGTGTATTTGAGAGACAAATGAGAGTCAGTTACTACTCTCCCAAATAATTTGCAGGCACAATTTGGAGGGTAGCTTGAGTCAAAGACCATTCCCACTTGGCATTTAGGATGCAACTATTCTGTTTTAGAGAAAAAAAATGATTTTACTGTATCAATGTAGCTGTATCAGTTGGGTCTGAAGCCAGAAAGTGGGTTCTGGTACTGTTTTGTTTCTGTGAAGTGGCAGCTTCTCAGGCAACTGGGAAATGCTGTATAAGTTAGTGGCCTGTTTGTGTGGGTTTATTTGGCAAACAATCCTCTAAATGATAAATCATTGTTTTCTGACAACATTTTTTAAATTAGCAAATAAGAGCCAATTTATTTTTTGGGAAAATTAATGCAGGGTTTGAACTTTAAAAAAAACTCAACAAATTAACAGTTTATTTAAAAAAAAATAATCATTCAAAATAAGATTAAAAGGCATATGGTAACTGGAATTTTCAAAGGGATAGATCTGATCTGAGTGTCTAACTGTATTTTGCTGTCAGAAAATACCACACAAACCCACAATCATTTATAGTTCTTTCAAGGTACAGGTTTAAAAAGGATCTGCAGGTTACCTTCTAGAAGAATTCAAGTCAAAAGCAAAGAAATCTCTGTCCTAATAGTAGCTGTCATCATTTTTAAAAGATTAAAATGGCTTGAGATTTTTAAAAAAGGAATATTGCTGAATCCTAACTAATTTATAGCAGTACATGTGTACAAAAACTTGTAGAACAAAATGTAAACTGAACATATTAAGAATAAAATCACTTACACATAAGCTAATGCTGCTTTAACAAACAGCAAGGATTTCCGTTTCATCAGTTTTTTAATAAAAAGTTTGGGTTAAGTGCATTATTAATGAGAGGGTAGAAAGTTGAAAGGAAAATTCTTATGAACTTAAGTCCATCTTGGAAAAATGAGCTGAAGGTGGAGTTTGAAAACATTAAGCAACTATGGGCATCACGGGAATGAATAAAGGCAAGAGACAGGAGAGGAGAAGGCCTGACATGTAAGTTTCAAAAGCAATATAAGGTGATTTAAACCATCGTAAAATTAATCCTGAAGGAAGAAGATTATCTGTTTTACTATACATTTACACTCTGTTATTATTATTTAATTATTAGAAAAAAGTAGACAAAGCAGTGGCTCCACATTCTTTTGCGTGGGACAAGTTCCACCCTCTTACTCAAATTCTTGGACCCCTGAAAAAAGAAAATCCTATGCTTCCATTTTGATTTCTGCTGAATTCCCTTTGACTGGAGACCATATCACCTTGGTGGTTATCACTAATAAATGCCTTTACAACTACTCTCAAGAAAAGATTGACTGGAATCTTGGCAAGGGATATGGATTTTTAAGATAATCTAATGAGTAGGATCCTCTGTAAGACCCCAAACCATTTCATTACCTTATAATGTTTAGTGTAAATAATCAAACACAATCATTTACTTCTTACACCCCTCATACCACGGTCAAACTTGTCCACATGGGCGGCTTCCTTCACATGATTTCTGCAACATCGTTACTGGTCGATGATCCTAAATGCCTTTGCAAATATAGGGAATGGCATTTAACAATGCTTTTCTGTAGTAATCCATCATAAACACTGGTGGGCAGGTAAAAGGGATAGATATATAATCTTTAAGAATCATCATAGAATTTAACCAGTCTATACTGTTTCTCATCTGTTCTTCTGAGAGAAACACAAGGAAGGCCCTTTGATTTTCTACAATTGTCATATATTCTCATTAGTAATCCATATAAATTACAGATTCGTATTTAGCGGTGCACATACACACACTTCAAGAAAAAGCTTTCACTACAAGTCTTTCTAAATTTTCTTTCTCCATCTATAGATGCTTAGCAAGTTTTAGACTTTTACTGTTCAGTTATTTCTCCACTTCTGTGACTATGTACAGAACACTTCAAATTTTTTACATTTACAAATGTAGCCTTGCTTGGTAACAAACTTTTAAAGTGTGTGGGTGTGCATAGGATTCAAAAAACCCAGCAACCCAGAAACACTACTTGAAGAAAAAAAATCTGGGACTGTTTACTTTAACTTGTCTAATATATTCTGTAACAGCTCATAAAAAAAAGAATAATCAAAATCTGGGTCTGATGATATTAAGTACTGCACTTATTTGATCTTAAAAACACCTGACTATTTCAATCTCTGGGGAAAATAGACTTCTCAAGGATTCTGCTACAGGAGGTAAGCAATTTATAAAAAGTCACGTATTTTACATTTTGCTTGACAAAAGTTTGTGGGTTTTTTTTGACTAGTTAGAACAAATTGGAGTCTACCAGTGTTTTGGATATGTATGAGTCATTAAGTAGGCAGTATATATTACTATACAGATATTTGTTTTTAATCAAGACTTAATTATTTTTGAGAATACTTGATTTTAAAACAACTTTTTGAACAACACCTACTTGAGGTCTTGGGAAGGTTCTGCTCTGATATGGGGTGTCTCCACAGAGTGCCCAAACACTGCCCCTTCCGTGCCTAAAATACATAAATAAAATACAGTACAATTACTTTGGAAAATAAAAACACATTGAAATGTATGACCACAAATTGACATTTTTAAAACAAAATATCTGATTGAATCCTTTATTAATGATTATCAATGTTTCTTCATATTTATGTTGGTATTTCTATATCAGAATCTGGACTGACATCATGTAAAACTTTAGACTTCTGCTTATCGGTAGATGAATTTAACATACAAATCTGAAAACATTCATAGATCCAAACTTCTCAGCACTGACTCTCCTGAATGCTCATCTCAACACTATAGACATGGATTGTTTTACAGATAAGGAAAATAATATCATAGACTTGTTTGACAAAAGCACATTTTAATGCTTCTACTATTTTTTGCATGATGCTCATTTTGATTACTTAAAATGATATGCCAAGCTTTCAAAAGTTTTGAAATAACAATTTCAAAAATAAAAGTTTTGAAATAACAACCTGAAGTTGCTAGCCTGAATCTCAGTATCCGACAGTTTCAGTTTCCTTCTATTAGACCTTTCTCATGAAAAACTTTTGTTCTCAAAGAAATTAAAGAGAATTATCTGGAATGTCCTATGGTTTCAGTGTTGGTAGTGGACAATCAGGTATCTCCTACTGGGCACTCAAAATCAAGGCCAAGAAAATGGGTAACTACTACTTAAAACTGAATTGATTCTCTAATTTCTATAACTAGGACCAAGTTGCATGTGATAATTCCACATTTTGAATTACATGACCAAGATTTTCATTGAAAAACTCCTTTTCGATGAAAAAATTAGGGTTCTGATAAATGTTCACTGAAGTTATTAGAAAAAAAGACAAATATTTACACAATCAATTTTTTAAATGCAATTATTTTTTAAGGAGAATTAAAAAAAAATCAGATTACAGCAAGTTCTTTGTTAAAATAATAGAAAACTCAAGAAACTGACATGGAGTGAACCGCACTATAAAATCAGTATTTCTTGTAACTCTCAAACACAAGGATTGGATGCACAACGGTCATTTATATGACTCAATTTACATTTAATAGATAGCAATGGCCTACTGATGTTGTGCGTTCAACACTTTATAGCTTTTTTTCCCCCCTGAACCTTATCATCACGTCTATTTTTGTTTACTGATCTGTCCAATGACATTATTTTTGTCTTCCACTTATATAAACTTTAGCATGTTTTTTTTTTTTTTTGTGCCTGTAAGCTTTTACTTTCCTTCTCTGAAGGTACTAAACGGGTTACTGTATACAGAAAATAGCCTAGAACAGAGAACCACCATTAAAATAGAAAGAACAGAATAATAACAGATGTAAACCAGGTAATGTATTTACCTGCTATCACAAGAAATAAGACCAAGGAAACTGTCTGAGATAATTATAGTTGATTATTAAATATTTTGGGACTAATTACTGTATTTCAATAACAGATGTTTTCTTGTATTCTTAGCCTCGAATTCTAATTGTTAAAATATTTTAAAAACAATAAAGTATTTTCAATTATTTAAATATTTTAATATTTCACAAGTATTTTCAGAAATTTTGGCTGACAATAAAGTGTTTTCAACTATTTAAATATTTTAATATTTTGCAAGTATTTTCAGAAATTTGAGATAGATACTGAGATATTTTTGCAGTTAACCAATAACATTTAGTAAACTGATCTTACCAAGATTTTAAAACCAAATGAGCCTAGAGAATGTTTAAATGATAATATTATTTTACAGTGTTAAAGAGAAAATGTCCTCAGCAAGAAGCCAAAAAAATCAAAGAATCATAGAATCATAGAACGGTTAGGGTTGGAAGGGACCTCAAAGATCATCTAGTTCCAACCCCCCTGCCATGGGCAGGGAAACCCTCCATTACACCAGGCTGCCCAAAGCCTCATCCAACCTGGCCTTGAACACTTCCGGGGATGGGGCAACATCCACCAGCACTCCCAAGTCCTTTTCCTCAGGGCTGCTCTCAATCCATTCTCCACCCAGCCTGTACTTATGCTTGGGATTGCCACGACCCACGTGCAGGACCTTGCACTTGGCCTTGTTGAACTTCATGAGTTTCACACAGGCCCACCTCTCCAGCCTGTTGAGGTCCCTCTGGATGGCATCCCTTCCCTCCAGCGTGTCCACAACACCACACAAGTTGGTGTCATCTGCAAACTTGCTGAGGGTGCACTCAATCCCACTGTCCATGTCACCAACAAAGATGTTAAATAGCACTGGCCCCAGTACTGACCCCTGAGGAACACCACTCATCACTGTGTGATTAATTAACCACTGGGTGGATTAATTAAACATTAAAATACTGTCAGAAAACCACCATTGTTCGTCATCTTCTAAACACCACATTCACTAAAAAGAAAAAAAAAGAAAAACAAAACAAAAAAACCAACAACCGTTCATTGTAAAATACCCTACTAGTATAGATTATCCAGGAAAGGAAGAGGGAACTTCTGAGAGTAATGAAGTAAAGGCCTAGGTTTTTATCTCCAGAAATCTATAAGATTTAAAAATATCTTGTCAAAACATACTGAAAAAAATTTCATTACAACTGCTGCTTTGAAGATCTCACAAGAAAACAACCAAATACACTTTCTATAATCAAACTTTGCTGAGTGTTATGGAGAACCACAGGAGGGAAAAAACAGAATATCTTTTTACCTAAAAGTATTCCCAGCTGTGCTGTGCAGAATCTGCTTTTTAAACCCAACATTGCCTTGCAATTCTGTTACTTTTAAGAGAGAAGAACAGCATGTCTCTATAGCCAGACTTTCTGTCACTCAAAATAAATCTCACCCCCATCTATAATGGCACGTAAGAAATTCTGGAGGAGCTAAATGTCAGAAATCAAAGAGTGTGCTTCCAGATCCCATTCACCTTTCTCATCAGCAAAATTAAATACTTTCAAGTCTAGGGCTTTTTGTATTTTTGAAGGTGGCAATGGGATATGAAGATGTAAATAACTGAGCAGGATGCAGAATTGTCAGTCTTTACTTCTGAGAAGACCACAGCTGTAATGTTTGAAAGAGCAGAATTAATGCAAAGATGTATAAAACATTATAGCTTGGGTCAGACGCTGAATCAATCAGAAGTGCCAAAGACAGTATTAGGCAAAACTTGATAACAAAAGATAAATGACAGTTGATTCTAAGCCAGCATTAGTATTTCCTCACTTTCAGTAGCACTTGTTCAAAAGATGAAAAGGCATTTCTTCCTTCTCCTCTAACAAAACAGAAATTTGGAAAGAGAGATCAAGTTTGTCCTCGCAGACTGAAAATCCAGGTAGGCAGAATTAAGGATAAATTGATATAATCAAAAAAATGTGATTAAAACTTGAACCATACCAAACATGCTCCTTTTGCTATTTGAAGGTATAATCTTAATATGATTTTTTCTTCTCATACAGCCTCAAAAGTGAAAGTATAACAGTTCTTGTGTTAAATGCTTTATCTTAAAAGAATATACTATCAACAAGTTCAAGAATATCTCCAATCCCTTTTGTTTTATACTGGAAGAAAAGCAGGCACTTACAATTATCTTGGTTTTAATAAGAATGGCGAAAATAATCAGCCAGCCAGAATTTACTGACGTGTTTCCAGCAGTTAAACAACAAGATCAAGAAAAATGGAAAGAGATTGTACAGTATATAAAAGATATGCATCAGCATTACTTAAAAATATAGAACTGAAGAAAAACTATAGGTAGGTATTATTTCTTTTTTAATTTTCTGTGTGTAAATATGTAGTGCTTTGATGGGAAGTTAGATCATGTAGTTCAATACTGCTCAGGAAAGGGTACCACAAACATACATTTCTATGTCTAATAAATATAAAAATATAAATCAGGATTCAAAATGAATAGCATGATTTTATAATGAAAGAAACATACTTTAAGTATTTAATAATTTACAATGTTAAAACACTTATTTTTTACAGAAAGAAGAAAAGGATCTGTTAACTGTATTCCCTGACTTACAGAATCATAATCAAGACCTCCTATGAGATGAGTGAACTTCTAGAGAGCCATGAATGAATACAAGAAAAGAATAAAAAGAAAAGAATTGAACCTTCAAGCCCTTTCAAGTACAGCTCAAAAGGAAGTAGTTAGGGAACTGAATTCAAAGGAACATGAGTTAGAATGGATAGCTATAAAAAGTGAATCTTTCAGAGGAAATAAAATAGCAAAGGCAAGGAGAATGTGCAAAGGATGTAAAATCAAAACCAAAAGTGTAACTGAACAAAATTACTCCCACCTCCAACTTCCATTGGAAGAGAATGAGTTAAGACTTCGCTAAGAAAGAAGCATCTGTCAGGGCAAACTACTGGTCAAAGAATACCAGTCGCTATAGAGGTTGCTGGAGAAAACTCAGTAAATAGCACAAGTCAGGAAAAAAGGCCAAAAGTCCAAGTCTGTATTTGTAGAGAAACCTCTTTATGCGTAGTAGATTTATGAACATCTGACCTTTAAAACTTACTTTTTCAACACAGAGCAAATCAAAATGACCCTTTCACTAAAATCAAAACTAGACACCTATTCCTGCTGAAACTGAATATTCAGAATTCAGAGAAACCAGTGTAAACTACTCATTTCTACTCGATTTACTGGTTCCTGAAATTCAGCCTTTGGGAAATGACAAGTTTCATAAAAGCAATGGAAGTACAACATTGGTATTTGGTGTGAGATTGTATTTACTTATGCATGTGCATGCTGAGGAAATTTTGTCATTTATTTAACCAGCAAATAACTATTTCGCAATTTATGAGTTAGCTCACTCAACAACACTGGTATCGTTCGGTGACTTAATAACTGACTAGCATGAAAAGACCGGCACCTGAGCATATTGATTAGGAGAACTATATTTTTTTGTCAAAAGAAGGCCAGCTGAAGAGTTGATGACCCAAGAATCAAAACTAATAAATTATTTTGCTGTGAAAAATGAGCCATATACTAGCATTGTCCCACTCCTTCACATTACTCTTGTAAGCAAATCACCTCAA